ATAGGTTGCAGATCGGATGGTGTACCAGTCGCTAGGACTGATTGTTTCCATTAATTTTGGTTTTCTTCTTTCTTCTTGACGAGGAGAGACCCGTTGTTGTATCTAGATGGCAGCTTCCTAGCTTTTAAGGTCCCAGTCGCTACTCGCCAAAGTAGTAGGTGGAACAATGTTTTGTATGTTATGCCAATTGAGCTTGATGTCCCCTGCCACCATGGAGGGACTCCTAATTTTATGGCTACTGATCATTATCTGATTAAGGAGCTCTGGTGAAGGTCAGCGGTTCAAACTCACCAGCTGCTCCATGGAAGGAAGATGGAGCGATCTACTTCTGTAAAGATTGACAGCCTTGGAAACTCAATGGAGGCTATGAGTCAGAATCGACTGGATGGCAGTGAGTTTGGCTTTTCACATTGGCAACTAGAAAGCATAGATCCAGTTTATGGGCAACCCAGGAGCAAGTGTGTAATACATTCCTGGTCCTGATTTATGTCTTGTCCTTCTAGCCTACGTTCAATTGATGTTAAATATTGTTGTAAGCCACCTTAAAAAGTCATTCCTGAAACTAGGCAGAGACATTTGTAAATATAGTATACAACCCGTTGTCTATATTTTCTGTGTTTTATCACTAAATAGAATGGTAGAAAATCTAGGAAAGTTCAAAACTACTTTTTAAAAATGTAATGTCTTTGTAACTTTTCTGTGGCCTCTCTTTTAAATGGAACTAAGCTTTGTCCTTCTATTTTAATTCCTTCACTGGAGATAACTCTTGGGAATAAGCTTTCACCGAGCAGCCCACACCTCCTGCACACTTTTTCTCCCTTGGTGCTAGCTTTCTTGCTTCCTCCTAAGCTTTTTCTTCCAGAGTATAGAAGATAGATGCAATGGGAAATTTACACAGAAGCCATCAAGAAAATTTATTTACATCTCAGGAAACTCTTTACAGTCATTACAGTTCATTCTGTGAAACAGGATATTATGTGATTTGGACATTGTGTGAACATGCCTAAATCATAGTGATAGATAGCATTCATTAATCTTCCAGCTTTGTGTCATTTATAACCTTTTGTTTCACTTCCAAATTGATACTTCTTCTTTGCCTCTTGCTGCTGCTATCACTAGCACTGGTTTTGCTGTCTTTGGGAGCCTTGATGTACTTCACAGTAATATTTTCAAAAGAAAAATCAACACTCGAAATGCGCAGTAAACGAGATTGCATGCCGCTGCTATGTGATAAACTTTTTATTTAAAATACATTACATTAAAATAACAATGGGAGCTCTGGTAGCGTAGTGCCTAAGGCACTTGACTGCTAACCAGAAGGCTGGCGGTTCAAACCCACCAGCCACTCCTCGGAAGGAAG